CCATAACTGTGTAACAGTCCATTACATACTCTGTCATTTTGGCCATTAGCAACCTGACAGTAATCTTCTATCCTGCAGGTTTTCCATGTGCTGAAGCTAGGAGAAGGTCAGAATATTACAGCCCTCGCTCTAAACAAGGATAACACAAATCTTCTAGTTTCAACTGCAGATAAGCAGCTCATAATTTTCACAGATCCAACCGTAAGTTAGATATCTTGCTTCTACACATATTTATCCATCAATGACTTGTTTTATTTAGAAGTTAAGTTTAGCCGCATTGTTAACTCCGGCTTTCTGCTTGCAGTTGAGCTTGAAAGTGGTGGATCAAATGCTCAAGCTTGGCTGGGAAGGTGATGGACTCAACCCCCTCATAAAGTCATAAGCTTAAAGCCGGTGAATTTTTGATTAGTTGTAGAATGAATACAGAGAATACAATATAGAACAACCCCGGGATGAATCTCACCGAGCATGCGAAGCTGCTCGAAATACAAAATCGATTTGATCAACACTTCAGCTGCCATCTTTTTGCATGTAACATACGAAATTAAGAAGTCGAACGACCCTGTAAATGCGTTGTTGCCCGGTTCTCTGCAGAGTTGTTCAGCAATTAGTTTACGTCTAACAATTGAGATGAACAAGCAACGCTCCAAGTCTGAGGCTTGAGAACCCTTTTTTTTTTTTTCTTTTTTTATCATCATTTTTTTGACAAAATAATAAATGAAAATATCGTAGCTATTTTTTCATGTATGTTCTTGCTTGTTGACCATTTTTTCATGTGGCACTGCCCCGAGACATCTTTTATATTCATAAGTTAAATAGAAATGTAAAAATCATGACGTCTAATTTTAATTAAATAATAATAAAATTTAAATAAGATTTATATTATATTATATTTATTTTATAACCATGATTGAATGTTTTTGTATTTTTAATATTAGGACATTTGGTTTTCCCTTTACCTTGAAATTAAAATACTTAATTAGTATGTTATCAACTTAATTAATTAAATGCTAATTTCTTTTTTTACTAAAAGTAAAATAATTTGAATTCAAATCATATGAGAATGATAATGGATCCCGACAAGGTGAGGCCCCTTGTCTTCATTTCCACCAATAGTAGGTACGGGGATCTCACAGGATTTTTGGGCGAGGGACCAAAAATGGTCTTTGTGCACATACCCAAGGAGAATTTATCATTTTTTGCAAGTATGCGAAATCTCTATTAAATATTAAATATATAAAATTTAATCTTATTTTTTTAATAAATAAAAAAATAAAAATTTAAAACAACTCAAATAAATAAATACATTAACATACATTGCAACAAAGCATTGTGTAATAACTAGTTCAACAAATACACATTGCTATACATGTCTAAGTCTAGCAACAAGTTCATAAAAAAAATGCATGAACTGCCATACATGTCCAGATTGGATAGGGTTATTGAATCAGATTTAGGAAGACTAGAATTGGAAAAAGAATTAGACTAGATAATTTAGGTTGGATTAGGTTAGCTAATTAGGTTGGGTGAGTAAAAATTAATTAGTAATATATTTATAAAAATATAAATTAAAAATGTATAAGAATAAATTTATATTTTTTTATTATATATAGATCCCCACCAATTTTCATAGGATGAAGTAAATTCTCTGTAAAATTTCATGGGAAAAAAAATACTTTTATCCACATCTCATATGGAGAAATATTCTTGGAATTTTCATCCTAACAATAAGATCTCTGTGGGTTGCCATCTCTAATGATATATGGGTGGAATGTGATAAGAGATAAGAGATGAAAGATGAAAAATAATTGTGTTTCATTGCGTAATTAAACCGATAAGAAAAACAAACAAACAAACTTGACTAACACTAGCAGAATTCATAAAAGGAAAAATAAGAAAATTCCATAACAATTGGGCTAAACAGGCCCAGCCTTAGTGGATCTGTAAACGGGAAAAAGTGAACGAAACAGATTTATTAGAAACGGAGAGGGCTTTATGGGTCCACTCTCCACGGCCCCTTGCCGATCTTTGGATTGGATGAATAAATGCCGCCGGCCCACCGAATAACAGAGCGCGAGAGGAAAATCAACCGCAGTCGGCGATAGGATTAGGCGGTAGGGTTGCTCCAGTTGTGCCATTTCGCTTCTTGCTTGTAATCGGA